GGTTCGGGAGATCCTCGAAACCACAGTGCCATATACTCGAGATTAAGGTAGTTTGTGGATCACATGTTAACACTCCACTAACTCCTTGAACATCGTAACCTTTACCGCTAGCCTACCATTTTCGCCTTTCTGGTCATCTGGGCTGCGTTCGACTCCGAACATGGACCTGCTTTATGACGTTACCTGCAAAACAACGAGATACCGGAAAACTATGCCGCCATCCTTCGAGCATTATACCACATTATGTCAAGTCAGATCAAGTCAAGGGTGTGCCTTATGTACCCATGAAGAGTGAATATTCAGCTCTAACATGCACGCCTCGTACAGGGATAAATAATGAAACACACAGTACCCCAAGCGTTAAAAAATGTTGACAGTACTATTATACCTGGAGTAACTTGCCAATCAGTTCTTGAATGACTAAAAATTTTTATCCTTTGGCAAACGTGACAAGCAAAGAACTACTTATGTACCATAGGTTATTGAAGAATAGTTTTTCTCCCAAAACCTGATAAATTGGGCACACCTAGTAAAATATTCTTTCGACAGAACGACCGAAGTTTGAACTCCAGAACCTATTAGATCACTTAACGGCAGTTCACGGTTCACACAATCGGAAACGTTGCTCAATTCTAGGAAGCAGATGTGGATGGATTTGTCTTTATTATCCCGTGAGGACAGCATGGCATGTACCAGACAAGGTACATCTAAGGGTGTACGTTGAGCTGCGATATGCATAATCATGTGAGTCATCCCAATTTGTCTGGGCTGAGATCCTTTTAAGAATAAGCCTCTCAAAGGGCTTCAAGGTAACCGACGCGCAAGCGATTTGCCAATATTTTTCAGGTTCCTTTAGCACTGGCGTGATGCTAGTACTTCACCAACTGTCGACTATCTTGTGTTGTTTGAAGTACAGTGTGTACAAATCGTCAAGAGACTGTGCCAAATAATCTGCACACTCCTTGAGAATGACAGCAAACAATTAATCCAGACCAAGGGGTTTGTTCAATTGCAATCCGGATGATTCCTTGCGCACTTCTAGACCGTTCTCTCAAAGTTGGATATCTGAAGGTAGTTGTAACTCAGCAGATTGAAGTACAGTCCTGGTCACAAAAGTTATAGTTTAGTTCTTCCACCTCCGGAGTTAAATGTGCGACCTCGCGGGTGATTCCGCTTAACTGTTTTAGCATTTTCAACCTCTCACTATATTTATTGTCTCCAAGTATGGTTTTAACGTACATATGGTTGAGGCGACGCAATTCGATTTCTATGGCAATCAATGGAGACTTTACTGATGTGACATCTTTGCGTTTAAACGCCTTTTTGTTAGGCCTACGCAGTTGTTTGAGACGTTCAGACTCGAAAATTTATCGACACGGATAAAAACTATTCCAAATTGGCAGTAGGTATCGAAGTAAAGGCTTAAGTGACTACTTAACTGGTCACAATATTTCGATACGTCCATATCGTAAAATAAACTATATCCGTGAAGGCAATGGTTTCTCGCAGTCGCTGGGGAGGCATTGTCTACACCTGAACTTTCGATATTCGCAACATCTTGCTATAGATGGCATGATCAGAACTCCTAAGTGGTGCTCGATCACACACAAAAAATACTTTCAGGTTGTTAATAAACACTATGTTAAAGATTGTATCTAACCTGGTTGGGGATTGCACCGTGTTTTGTTTGGTCAATGATTCGCAATGAAGCTGGTGTCAGTTTTGTTAAATTTGCTGACAACTGTGTACAACGAGAGTTCCAGCCATTCGAAAACCTCAGCTATAAATCCGTATTAAATTCTTCGACTTCGGCGCCTGGATAGCTGTGAAAAATATAAATGTTAGCCAATAAAGTCGAACGATAACCGTTCATGTGTCTTGCTTTACATTTCACGATTAAATAACTGATGCGTTGCGGGCTGTAGGAAAAAATGCTTTTAGTCAGCGTGCTCCATGAAGAATTAATGTAAATGGTAACGCTACCACAAGCGGTTCCTCTGTGTACATTGACGGCCAGTACTAGAAGAACTTAATCCACCGAGTTCCACAAATGCATCTTCAATATTAATTTGAAGTCAGGCTTCCTGCAGCATCATTATTCCCACGCGAGAACATCTCGACACTTGAAGTCTTCTAAGTTTCCAAGTAGCGATCGGAGATATGCACTGAGTAAAAATAGTGGTGACTCATACTTCCCGTTTTTTTCTCCGAAATGCAACCCGCCATCCTGCACGGTGTTTTTGTGTAGAATGCTTTTGCTACCTTTTGTTTGTTTCGTATAGCTTGATCAGAAAAAATTGACCAATTCATATTCATGAGAACATGTAAAGGTTTCAAGATATCGCGAGTGTAGACGATCATGTCATTAGTTGTAGAACTACACATTGAAATGTTAAAACAGAGTGTTCCAATGCAGTACTGAAAAGTGTGTGTGTTAGTAAATCCTTTGGATAGGAATTATAGGGCACAGACAAATTTGTACGTCCTGTCGCTGAATGAGGGCTTGTGACCAACTCTACCTTTTACCATCCGTAGCATTTGAGGATGTCCTATTGACTGCTGTGGTAAATCTCTAGGCCTCTAGCTTAGATCCTGTTCCAGAAAACCGCGCGACATACTTATACCGTACTACTGATCTCATATTGCTTGGTGACAACCCCCAGAGTATTCAAAGGATTTTAAATCGATTAGCGTTTGAACTAAGTATGGCGTGATCCTTGCCCACTCATAATACGAAGTACTGCTCTAGAATTGGCATTTATCTGCCCTAATGTTCACTCTAAAAGTTACTGAGCTTGAGCAAGTTGACGTATTTGTGTGCCTCGTGAACCCCCTTTCTGCTGGTATCCCTATTGTGCGAGAGATTTCTCTTCGGTTTGGCGAAGCCTGACTGCTGTTCACTAGTCTGAAGCATCTGTGAGGTCGTATGGACGTTTCACTCTCGGTAAGGGACGGGGTCTACAATGCCTGTGTTCACGCGGTGCTGTTTTGCAGAATTAAGTATTATCTGATCCAGTTTGTTTTGTTGAAGTGTGTAATCTTTCGTCATTTGACAACAGTTGTTTGGGGAGCATAGCTCCTGTGTGGTGGGAACGCTACGTTTGCGACGTCAACGTTGATTGCTGTACCAATTTGCCCGTGCGAGCGATTACGACGTCTCGCTTTATTCTCTCGCATAGGACCGCGTGGTTACTACAAAACCTTAAAGCGCCGACACATCGTTTAGCTATCCACGGTCCCTTGCGTGTTCCGGAGGCAGCGTTCAGGTCGCGTCCGGATGTGTCTATATAAGCAAAAGTAATCAACATTCGACAAACTGCCTAATTTTTGGGTATAAAATGAAGCTATAATTTTGTACTATTTTACACACCGTATGGGGAGATCTCCCGATTGCTGCATGTTCAACTCGTACAGTGTTTCCCCACAGATTCGCGTCCACGGATAGCCTTGACCTTTCCGGTGAACCCTTTCTTCACTCGTCCACATATACAAACACGTATCATGCATACCCTTTGGAGAACGTGCCCACTCATTGCACATGTCACAGTCTGGAGTTTGGGCACCTGTCTGACCCTCGAGTGCCCGTGTTTAAATTCATCTGTTCACTTACGATTGTGATAAAAAGGAAACAGTCAAATATGGTTTCTTCCCAAAGATGGTTTGACTTCTAGGAAAGCATGCCGCTTGTCGTATTATTATGATACTGTATGATTTAATTGTTTACTGTTATGTAAAAGCCCATCGAATATAGTCGAAGCAAGATGTGGTGGAAGTAGTTTTTATCGTACTACAATAGGAATGTCAGGTACGCCAGTCTTTTGTATAGGGCATCCACATATTGACCATCATTCTATGTGAACCACTTTGGTGAAGACCCTTGATTGGTCAATTTACGGAGGTTTCACTGTATTATTGTTTTGACGAAGTGTTCTAATGATATGGAGTCCACCGCGCCTCGGTGTCTACGTCGTCTTTTTTCATAGAGCTGTTTCACGTATCATGCGATATTGTCGTTCCTAATCTGTTTTTGGCCATTGCGATTCTCCGGTTGATGCGTGCCCAGTATCGTTGTTCTTTCATGAGTTCCCTCTACCAACCACGCATTGTCACTGTATCACCAAATGATCCTGTCGATGCTGGTTGTCGGTGCTCATTTTTCCACCTCGCTATTCCGCGAATGCGAATTAAGTTTTAACGACAGACTAGCATTTGAAGGACGCTATTGATGACCGGTTTCTCACTAAGTACTGTATTTAGCGGATTCGCTGAACTGTTGCGTCAGTAGTCTCCTATCGCGTTTTGCCTCATTAGGGCGCAGTTTGACTCATTTTCCTATGGTTTCTAGTATTTCCCCCAAATTTTACACTCATTGCTAAAGAAACCATCAATCAAATTATGTCATTGAATGGGATTCACGCTGTTCAGATGCTTTATTTTACCCCTAACCGACATCCTTTTTGCGTTAATAAGAACGATTTTGTAGTCTGTGATAGTCATGATGTCTAGATGGCCTATCAGATAATGCCTCGGTGCTGGTGCCTGACCAACTCATTTTGCTCCGCAACTTCTACGCTTGCGTTAACCAATCTTCCCTGCCCATTTATCACCCCATGCGCGTCCCCTACTGCCGTTACAACGGCTCTGTTTTCAACCTTGCCTTTGTCATGCTTGTTAGTCACCCTCAGTGTTTTGGGCAAGCTCTCTGTCCTATTCTCCCTGTCAGTCCACTCTGAATTTTCTTCCTTTGGATTTGCAATAAATGTTTGCTCAGCGGTCGAAATCGCTAGCAATGCAGCACTAGCCGCTCGCAGTGCCGAAGTGCATAATCGCTCCGAATACTTGGCTGTAGAGATGATAAAGAGTAGTGCACGCCTAAGTCCAAGTTTGATAGACAGGGCACCAGCAACGTTTGGTTTTCAATCATTTAGCATGCCATGACTGCTGAGTCGTCTTATCCTTTTTCTCCACATTACTTTCGCTTACACTCTGCTCCAACTCAGGTGGAGGACTGTGGATTATTGGATTTACCGTTCTCAAGTCAACCTCCGGATAGTGGAAGCTCTCGACCTCATTGGTCGCACTAGCGAGTTTGCTCGCGTATTTGGAATTGAATTTTTCCACGTGTTGTCCCGTGGATCTCAGGTGAGTTTTACTAGTTGCTGATTGACAGTTCATTCCCCAACATCAGATTCTATGATGTAAGTTTGGATGCTTTTGCTTCAGTATCGAGTGGAGTCGATGTTGGGTCGTACTGCTAGACGCGCGAATTTTCTGTTGCCCAGTCCGAGCGTAGTTCAACGGGCGCACCAGAGAGCTCCTGAGGGGATACCGTTGAACTTGGAGCCCGACAGCCGGCTATACATCGATGGTCCAGTGGCCGTGCTGGATTTTCAATCGCTGTATCCATCCATTGTGATCGCGTACAATTATTGTTTCTCCACGGCTTTGGGACGATTGAGCTGTTTGACTACGAGGTACTGTTTTTTGTCCTTCTTGTGACACATATACTGTTTCGAATTAACGAGTGACCCCCGATATTCGCGTCGATGTGACGCAGCAAATTGTGCTGTGCGATCTAATGCTTTGTAACCTGATGCCCAAAAATTTCTTGCCCACACTCCACACCGATAATAAACTACTGCGGCATCGTATCATTTGACATAGTAATCCACGCCTATCTTCGACAGAGTACCATTGGTGCCGATCTCGACTAGTTTGTCAAGGTACCCTTTCGTCTCTTCATACAGTTTCCTTACTTTATCGCAACGAGCTGTCATTGTCTGCGTGCATGTCGCTTTTTGAGACATGCGAGGCGCCATTCACCAGCAACAATTGTGGAGACTCGTCTCCCGTTGATTAGTTTTCATCTCGCATAACTTGGCTTTAGTTTATGGCATTTGTCTGCATCGGAACCACTTTAGTGCCCTTGTTATAACCTGTAGTGACCCACCGATAAACGTCTGCTTCATGCTGTTGGGACGGAGAGTATAGTGCAAATGGTGTGTTTCTAGTCATCTCTATTAAAGCATGGCCTCTTTGTTTGATCCTCAACATTTTACAACTTCACAAGAATCCGATTATCAGTTCTCACCTTAAATTCATTCACCGACGGAAAATTTCGAAACTGTTTACTGCAGTGTATTCATGATTGCATTCGTTTCCTCATCACATTACTTAGGTCCCGGTTGATCCACTCGGCTATCCCTCTTGACAGCAAATATCTGCTATCGGTGTAACTAGCGTCTACTCCCTTGGTGGAACCGATCATGAATGCAGATGTCTTATTTTAGCACTCCTGTTTCAATACGACTTGTTCGATTACTTTTGTAAATGTATATTGCAAATTTTTTATTCGCTCTAGATTTGATTTGTGCGAGTGGTTTCCCTCGTGAACCACATATGCCATGACCGATCCTCAGTGTCAAAGCCCTGTGCCTTAGCTGTGTGCCTTATTATATCGAATAAACAAATCCAACCGATCATCTAGATGCAGCATGGGTTTGAGTTTCTCTCCGACTCTCTCCAATACGTTCCCACTTCTTTTTCACAGTGCTTTTTACCATGGTGATAGAAACTATAGCAGTTGGGTTCACCGTATATTTGTTCCTCAGATCATACCCAGGTCACTGGCTTGAACTGGGCTGTAGCGTACGTGATCCACTGTACCAATCTTTACTAACTGACAATCTGTACGGACTGTGTGGGGTGAACCAGTCTAGGTGTTCTCTCTACAACTCATTTTGTGCGGTTCACCAGCGTCTTTTTGCTCATCCACTGCGCTATTGCTAGCCATCGCAATCTTCTGTTCCTCCTTTCACAGCGGTGGTAATGCTTTCGCATTTGGTTGCCTAACGCATTCGATTCCAACCGACCTGTTTCACGTGAGTGACATCCACATACGTTTCGTCTATCCTTTTGCGCCCCGACAACAATTGCCGGGGTTCCGGACCGAGTTCGGGGCACAGAGTTGAGTCAATCATACTTCACCCACTGGTTTTCCTAGCCTATCGATTTGCTTGTCAGATTCGGCGACATTTAGCTTCGAATCGCAGTTGTTTAGTCGCCCATCATCAACAGACTTATCATGTCTTTTTTCTTTCCTATTTGCACTGGTGCTTGAAAATTCGGCTCCGTACAAATGAACTGAATGAACTTCCCATTCATCACTAACTAAACTCAGTTTAATCTACAAATAAGTGTTCTCGGCTATCGCCGATTTCCAATCCTGAACTTACCTCGAAATGGACTTATGTCCATTCAGTTTTTCATTACTACCTAACACAACAATTGATGGAGGATGAAATTTGCGGATTTGTTAATTTAATTTAGTATGAGTTGTCCAGAACTACTGTCAAGAGATTGTGTGGATAAGATCTTCTTGGTACTGAATACTGAGAAAACGCAACGGGTAGAGTTGCCTCTGTGTATCTACATCTAATATTTTTTAAGCATATCTACCTATTATGATGATGCTCATTCTGGAAATCTCAAGTCGGCACAGTGCGAGTCCAGGAGTTTCTTAAGTTCCGACACCGACTTTGCTTCGTTTATATCGGTATGCAAGTTGTTCTAAATATTCACCACCCTCCTCTCGAGGCAGAGTTGGTGAGCGACCTCCTCAAATCCGGTACGACAAGCTTGTACCGGTGTCCTCGTGTGCTGCTTGGTGTGCACAAATGAAGCAGCGACCTCAACATGGGTAGTGACCCTGATGACCCTGATATTCGGTGCACCGTAATGAGGTCAACACGCATTCGAGAATAATACAGGGTGTACAACCCTAGCCTCTTGCACCGGTCTTCATATGGCACACCTCGTAAACCGGGGATGAGCCTTGTGGCCACATGCTGTACCGGCTCAATCTTTTGCACCTCGCCCCGGGTGCACAGACAGTAGGCGGGTGAGCTGTACTAGCATTGATCTGCTAATAGAAGAGAAGAGGTGGGTGGCAACCTCTTCGGACCAAATGCGGAAGCTGCGTTTGGGCGCCCGGAGCATGTGCATCCTGTTTCGCTAAAACATATTCGTGTTTTCAACGGGTTGCAAATCGCAGCGTGACAGCACGCCGAGAGCTTTCACGGATGGCGATGCGTGTAACGGTTGCTCGGTCAGGTTGTAGACTCTGCCATTACCACCCTTGTCCAGGCGCATGAATACCGACTTGACTTGATTGATCGGACGGTTGCCCTATACGGACCACCTAGAGAGGCGGCAAAAGTTACGCTGAAGCAGGTCGCACTCGTTGAGCGCCTCAATTATCCTCCATACCTTAAGCTCAGCTGCAGAGAATGCGCAAGGTAAACTGAGAGGCTGAGGTAAATCGTTGATGTGCATCGGAAACAAAATGGTCCTAAGGACTGGTCTGAAGATACCACTCGCTTGAGTGGTTGTCCACCTGCAACCTCCACGTCCTACCAATAAGGAAGTCACTGATCCACTGGTGCAGTAAGCCATCAACACCGCACCTCTTCAAATTTGAAAGGAGGATCTCATGGTTTACCTTTTACTGAAGTCGATGTAAATGACGTCAACCGACTTCCCTTGGGTTAGCGCTTGCAACCATTCGTGCGTCAGAGCAGCAGGTTTGTGATTCATGACTGACCTTTCATGAAACCATGCTGTACGGACGGCAATATGCTTTTCTACTCGAGATGCTTTGAAGACCACGCTTCACCATCTTCTCGAGTGTCTTAGCCAAAACAGAAGTTAGGCATATCGGCCGGTAGTTGTCCACCTTGCTTGCATCGCCACCTTTCGGAATCGGTTTCGCCACTGGGCATTTCCAGTCACTCGACAGTGAACCGGCGGACTGCGACCTGTTAAGTAGCTCAGTCACCGAAGGCAAGATGATGGCCGATAGTGATTTGAGGATCAGCGGATGGAGCCCATCAGGCCCTGCGGGCTTGGTATCGTCAAGACTGGCGACCAATTTGCGCACATCCCCAACGCTGCAATCTAGGCTGTCCAGATCCGTAGGGGTGCTATGCGTCAATCTCGGTACGGATGTCTGGTTATCTGCAAAACGGAAGCGAAGTGCGCCGCCAATGCGGAAGCACGTTCAGTACTGGGAACTAGGGGCTGTCCGTCCGAGCCCTGCAACACAGGCACCTCACCTGTCGACTTCGGGCATCGCTTCACGTATGCAAAAATCCTTATGGAAGCAACTTTTTACTGCGGTCGCAAGCTGTTCTTCGAAGCATCGATGTTTGCTCCTTTTCCAGCTGTTGCAAGCATTTCTTTGCCTCTTGTACGCCTCGTAGTCTTCCGCATAGCCAGATTGCCAAATTTATTCCATAACCGGCATCACCGTCGAACCAGTTTGCCATACTCCTTGTCAAACCACCGTGGCTTGGCTGCTCTAGCTTTCCTATATTTTAGGGACACAAATCCGGCGCCCAATGATTTTACTCCCTCTTATGATAGATCAACTGGCTTCAATTAATGAATCCTGTGATAACGACCAGTCCATCATGCTGGCGGCTCAAGTGCGGCCATTAAAGTCCTCCTTTCAGTAGATGAAAGATGGCTCCAGCGGAGGAGTAAACGGCAGTGGCAGGTCTAAGCTCGCCATGACCATCGAACGGTCACTAGCTCCCAGGGGCTGCAAGACCTGAATATCATATACACGTTGCCCACAGCTGGTCAACAATAATTCCAGGCACGATGGAGTCGAGCGCGCGATTATGCGCATCGGCTGCTTGATGTGCTATGTGGCCCCAGTTTCAGACATCCTCCCCGCAAACTTCGTCTCGACTTCGCAGTGGCCGGGGAGAAGTTTGACCTCGGTCACGGTATTCGAGGAAGGTTGAAATCGTCCATCAGCGGGAATTGCGGACGACTCATGTGATTGCGCACATGAGGCAACCAGTCCAAGCTGTGGCTCAGTGGATTGCGATACACAACACACACGAGGAGTTCGCCTCCTCCCAAGTAGATCGAACACCACAACCGCTCACACAGGCTATCACCGTTTCTGTAGATGCTCGCGAGTCTTCCGCGAACAGCACGCCACCGCAGTCATTTGATAGCTTATCACAGCGGAAGCAAGAATATCCGCTGCTTTCAACTTCTTGCGCGGTTATCTCTGAATATAACTTGGTTTCAACTAGTCCCAATACGTCTGATTGCTTAGAGACAACAAAGCGGCAATATATATATATATATATAAATGTTCAACACTATACCAATTAAAATATAATTGGTTGAGTGCCACAACCTATGAGAAGAAAAAAGGAGAGCGTGAAAGGGAAAACAACTGTTAGGGTAGAAGAGTCTCACAGTAAGTGCGCCATTGCGTATGGTCCTTGACCATATCCTCCGGCGTTTGCAACCAGATGTGCTCGGGGTCCTTTAGGCGCCAACCCGGGAGTCGGGAACGTTCGACAACATCCAGATTCAACGTTTGCGCCTTAACGCATTGTATCCAAGTTTTACATTGCCCTCCTTTTCGTCGCCTCCAAACCACGCCTGTGCTCGCAAATGGGGCTCGTCGTGGTAGCCGCTGTGTAGGCATGCGAAACACATGTCCAAGCCAGCGAATCCTCCGCAGTGAGATGATGCTATCAGTCGATCGGCGGAGTTTGTTAGATCTGAAGACTAGCCGACGGATTTCCTCATTACTGCTGTGATGTTGCCATCGCACACCAATAATGCTCCGCAGGCAGCGGTGATCGAAGACAGATAGCCGCTGAACATCGCTTTTGCGAACGGGCCAAGTCTCACAGCCTTACAGCAGAATCGCTCGTACTGTAGCATTACAGACTCGTCTTTTGAGAGCCGGGCTGAGATCACGACGAAGCCCCAGGTGACGAAGGTTAGCGAAAGCGACTCTAGCCTTGGAGACACGCAGGGAGATCTCATCTGTCAAACCGCCAATACTAAGAAAATTCCCAAAATAAATGAATTTGTCGACCACTTCCAACGGATGCCCCAAAAGGGTGAGAGAAGGACATGCGCTTGGCCAGTCCTGTAATAAGACCTTACATTTGGAAGGGGCAAAGCTCAACCCTAATTGGGCAGCAGAAATCTCCAGTCTGAGCAACACATGCTGGGCGGCTTGACAGGATTCGCAAATCCCAGCGATCTCATCGGCGTACTCTAAGTCCCGAATGCGGTCATCAGGTAACAGTTCACCATTGCAGAACTCAGTGTTATCCAGTGCAGTATCCGGGATCTCGTCCATCACGAAGTTGAACGAGCACGTAGAGGCTGGGCGACCATGTCTAACACCGTTAGTGGTACTGAAAGGGGGCGAAATTTTTCCATATGCTCGCACGCTGCCCGAAGTTTGATGGTTAATAGTACGGAGAATGCTGGTGTAATTGTCAGGTACTCCCCACTTCAGTAAGCAGTCCCAAAGAGCCACTATCAACAAAGTCAAAAGCGGCTCTAATATTCAAGTACATAACTATAGTTGGTCGACTGAACGTATGGCGATGTTCAAGTATCTGTCGTATCGTAAAGATATGATCGACGCAACCGCGACGCGGGCGAAATCCAGCTTGTTTTTCACGCAGCTGCTATTCCCGTACGCAACTGAGCCTCGGTAAGAGTAGGGCAGTGAGCAGTTTGGACGCGACACAAATGAGACTGATGAAAGTTGGAGCAAATGGTCCGATTTCCATTTTGTAAACAGGTGCAACATCCGCTAAATGCCAGTCGGATGGAATGGTTTCAGTAGTCCAAATATGATGGAATAGAGATATCAGTTCACGAGTGAAAGCAGGACCTCCATGTTTGAAGAGAGCAGGAGGAAGTTCATCTGGGCCAGTAGTCGAAGCTCATGGGAAACCTCAGTCTCTGTCGGTGGAGAAACATTCACACATCAGATAGCACTGTGAACCCCTTAACATAGACTCGGTTGCGCTGCTGGCCAGTTGAATTTCTTTTCAAAGTGCTCTGCCCATCCTACCAGACGACCGAGAATGAGTTCACCGTCATTTTCACGTAAAACCTTGCTCACTGTTGGTCTTCTTACTCCCGTGGAGCGAATAAGTTGGAAGAGTTTGCTGGAGTTTCTTCATGAGGCTACTTGCTCCATCTTAACGACGCGCTGTGTCCACCAAACCATGCGATCCTTCCTGAGGAGCTGTTTGAGCTCAGAACCTGTGGTTCTGCATAGTGCGTTGTACTCAACTCCGGTGGGAATTGTTCGACGATTTTCCATTAATTGGAGAAACTGTGCGGAAATTCCATGACTAACAGTTCGTCTAGTGAAGCCACAGACCAGGGTAGCGTACATTTGTAAGGCGCTCTGGATCTTTACCCAGTGTGTCTCAACATCGGAGGATAAATAACCTAGGTTGGAGGCTAATGTGTTCTGAAATGCGCCGCGAACATTTTGAGCAGCGAGCTTATTTGTGTCAAACCGTTTCCGGCGACGCTGTTGCGTTCCTCCAAAGCGCAGAACGAACTTAGCACACACGAGCGCATTATCCGAAGTCAGGTAAGGATTCCATATTGTCTTGCAGTCCGTTATGCAGCCTCGCTAACGGTAACTAACAGCGATGTGGTCGATTTGCGTCCAAGATTGACCGGGCGCCGGAAGTCGCCAGGTGGCTCCTTGGCGCCAGGAACGTCGGAAATTGGTGCTGGAAAGAAACAAGTTATGGTCGATGCACATTTGCAGGAGTCGATCGCCGTTGTCCGTCATGCGTGTACCGCGGCTGTGTTGACCCCCAAATTTGCGCTCATTAACCTCTAGTCTACCGACCTGCGCATTTAGGTCAACTGCGAGTATCACAATGTCCGTGCGGCGTTTCTTGCTGAAGTCGGTGATTTGGCGGTAGAACTCGTCTTTAGCTTCGTCCGGGCTGCAGTTCGTTGGAGCGTACGCCGCCACAATGAATAAGCAGGGCCTACTAGTCCCGTAGCTGGAAGATCGCACTGACCTTTCCAAGCAGACTGCACAAAGACGACTGTTGACTTGGAACCAGTCAGTGAGCACTGCCTCAGCACACGCGCTTAACGCAACTTCTACGAAGGCGCAACCAGAGGCTGCCGCTATCGCATCTCCAGATAAGCACAAGGTGAATGTACAATTGGAACTTGGGGATGGTGAGAGCAATCGCAGCATTGTGCTGGGGTCTTGTAAACGGGTTTAGGTTATACAGCAAAAGTCGATTGAGAGGGTTTCCAAGGTTCGCGCAAGAGCAGCTTGCGAACCAATCTACATGAGCGATTGAACGTTGCTAGCTTGAAGAGCGAGCGGGGTACAAAAAAGCCTTGTTGTTGGTATTGGAATGTGTGCGATCCGTTTTAAACGGTGCATTGAGGAGGCCAAAGGTACCGTTTTTATTTGCAATGCACTTTTGGAGACTCGAAATTGAAGGGGGTTTGCCAAGAACAGGAGGGTTGAATAAACGTAGAGCGAAGAACGTAGTTTGCCGTGCGGTAGTGTGTGGTTTACCGTGCCCGGCCGCCAGCATCCCGGCTAAAGAGAGAGTTCAGAGAGCGCGAAACATGAGCAGAGAGTTATAAGTCTATCATTTCATGTGTTTTTTGGGCCTACAGCTTCCCGGGTTGCCCAGGCCGACGAAAGGGGTTGACTTAAGGGACCCCACCCGGAGCCTTTGGTCATAGGGACCTGACCCGCAAGGCAGCGGGGCGAATTCAGGGAGTCGCGCCCGATGACCGATTGCTCAGTTCATACGCCTTTCGTTTAACTGTCTGTCAAACAGGGGCCCAATGCTCCCAGTAATTCCGCGTCAAGTAGCATGATTACAATGCTCCAGCGAGGTGAAGCAAGGGACAGTGACTTTATTTAGTGGCGAATCACATACGCCACTTCACAGTGGTGTAAAACGGACATATGTGGCTTTTCATAGGGAGAACGCTTGCCATTCGAAAACCCACCACGTCCTGGAACACTGCCGCCGAACCATTTGCTGGAACGGGAGACTCCCGAACCACCCAGCTGGCAAACGTCGTCATATTTGTTCGTTAGACTACAAACATTCGTAAAGACTACACGCAGGCCGCGGTAGGAACCGTCGGCGTGCGTGAGGCATTAGCGACCTGTTCATCCAGATTCGGGGCGGAATCCGAGTAACTATTCGAAGATTTACAATGCGGAGCTTTAGTTCAATCACGGTAGACTTCAGTTTTCCTCTGTCTGCTGGATCCATGTCTTCGCGCACATGGATCTTCAACCCTTAAGTCTACCGAGACACGATAATATGAAGTACGGACCAGCGTCGACAGCAAAAGTGACTCTCATGGGTCGAACTTTTGCTTCAGTTTTCTTTCCCAGACGGGCAATTTGCTACACTTTCAGCCCGTTTTCACTGACGTCGAGCAGTCTATCAAGCAGACTCCGCAGAAACTCAACCTCGGGTTCATAGCGAATCTGACGAATCAGGTGCATGGAAGACCATCAAGTTGCGACGCCTCAGGCCGCTGGACGTAGTTTTCGGTTTCTTTGGCCTTTGCGTCTGCTAGAGGTTGTCACTATCTGGCCACACATTCGAGTTGCAGTGTCCATGGAGGCAATAACATCTGGTAAAGTGGGGTTACTCGGCGGTCTAAGGACTCGCTCAGCGGAGCTGTTGGTAGGCGTGCAAGGTGCTTGTGTCTGTTGCGCAGAGCTTCGGGCCTTGGAACGCCTCACTTTACCGGTCCGTTGATTAGTTTTCCCAGGGGGACTTTGGCCGCAGTTGGCACTAGTACTCCTTACCTATAATCTGGACAGGATCGTGCTGAATCTCGCGGATAACGCGAGACTGGTTCGCAGAAAGATATACACGCAATGTGAAACTTCACCCGGCAAAAGCAACATGAAACGGCGTTTGCGCGAGGCCCAACGCTCTTTGAGCAACTTCCGCAGCAGGAGACTGCTTCACCATATTAAACTTACCAGCGATCGATATGACAGCATATGGGGAATAGACTGGGCTAGGACACGTATTAATGACAAATGGAATCGGCATCACAAATCATACTGAATTACACAAAAAGAGACGGATAAACTCGACTTTCCTAATGCAAATAACGAGGAAAACCAGCCTAAGAAAGCCGCAAGAGGGCAGACACTATAGGACGGTAGTATAATTGCAGAAAACAACGATATATTACTGGATAAACCAGAACCACAAAGAATACAGTGTACAATTGAAGACAAAAATTGCAATATGTGTTATTATTACTATTCAACACTTGACCAATGTACAATTGGTAGTGCCACAACACATAGTTAACAACAATAAAAGGGGGAAAATGGATAGTCAGTGAAAGGATTTCGAGAGTTTAGGAGGCCGATATGTAACACAGAAATACAGAACAAACTGGCCTGGGAGCAGAGGGACTTATTTCGAACCGGCCGCCGTGACCTTGCCCTTCGAGAGCACATAATACGAACAAAAACTTTGCTGCGTGTTTGACGATTATTCCAATTGGTAGCGATTCTGACACTTGCTTTGCATCGGCTTGTAATTATGCTTTCTGTCATCGCTCTTTTCCCTTTTTCTAGCGTTTGGGCCCGAATGTGAATATCTCTCCCAACGGCGTGGTTTTTGTCAAGGCGTGTGTTCGCGAAGGGATCCTTCCACGGTGCGTGCTCCGGCAAGCTTCTGATCTGTGCATTGGTATTGATTTTGAGCCACACCAATTACACCTGCTCGTAGTTTTTTCCCCCGATATATGCTTGTGTGACCTTGCTTAAGGTAATGGTACAGATGCTGTTGCCACTTAGTTGGAATCTCACTTGATGCAATATTTATCGAGCAGCCGCACTCTAGATTCATTCATCTTCTCGTTGGTTACCTCTAGCTGTTCACATTTTGGTTTGGTTTGCTGCAGACGTTTCATCACCAATCGAGGTGTCTTCGTCATTACTCTAGTGCGCAGTGGGCAATCTCATTGAATCGTTTACTTCCTTTCCCCTCTAAACTGGTTGAATTATAGCATCTAGCACACGGTATCGCACACTTTCCTTTGCATCCACTCACCTTTTATCAAACAGTTCGGTTACTGATGAACTAGCAGTCTTCAGCGCTTCTTGTGCTTCTACATCGACACCTTACTGTTTTGGTTGTACGAGGTGGATCAAGTAGGATAGGTAATCGCCAACTCTTGATTGATGTGTCGTTGTATTGACAGAACACGCGATACTGGCCAAGTAGTGTGTGTTGGCGAAGTGAACACAAAACCGGACGAGGCAAATGCCAATAGCTCGAAACCATTTTGTCTGATAATCGAAACGTGTGTTATTTTATAGGAGGCGGGTTTTTCACAAGTGTTGCATGTTGTGTGGGCCAGGTGACGAGAACAGCGTTCTGTTACACAAAAAACAAGATCCTTGACTTTTACCAACTCTATATAGACTCATCTATAGTCATTTGTTAACTCGACTCAGAACAAGCAGTTGCTTCGCTTTTTTGTTGCACAGTAACAAGTTCCAACACACTTCCGTGGTGCCGTCTGGCTTTGATTTTCCAAACCTTGTTTTTACTCGAGTTAGCTTGGATCTAATCCTAACACTTACCAATCCACAGATTGGTGATGCATCCCTGCTTTTCGTTATGTCTTAAAACAACTGTGTGTTGACTCTTCGTAATGCTTTGTGACACTGTGCCCAATCTTACTGTCAACCTCTAAACCACCATTCGAGAAGCCCGTGAAGTGGCAACGTCACACCTGCACTGTTTTCATACGGCAATTTGACATTCTCCAATTCAGCACCTAGCTGCTTTGGTTGCTGATAGAACCGTATACTCCCCCTCATGATTCATTCAATTCCATCGGATTCATTTTCTCCGCCTATTTTATGTATCTCTGATCTGATGGAGCTGTTTAGTTAACTACCGGCAAATCCTGATGAACCTACCGCTTTTCCCCGCATTACCCCAGCTACTGCGTGAAACATCGAGTGTCGCACTTTGCAACACCTGTGTTATTGATCGCGTTGTCGCTGTCGCGTTCTTAAGGCCCTTTCGGGTCTGCGTGTCTGTTATAACGCGTCCTAATATTTCGACTGTTAGTTGGAAAGCACGGAAGTTCTTTACATGTAGAGTAGCCGATCGAATTCGTAACGTTGCAGACTAACCAGACCTAGCCACCAGATGAACACGCAACCTAACATTGTGAACGAATGCGCACAACCTAGCACAACCGTTACCAAGTCAATATAAGTCAAAATGGGCTTTATGAACCCGACTGAGCAAGAGTTTTTTTGTTAAATCAGCCAAGGCGAAAATGTCTTCTACACCATTATTTTTATAGCTCAATGGAATATCATAAACCATAGAGAAAGGTGGATGTTAACAAGGCACATAACTTGTCGCCCAGTGATAATATCTTGAGGAATCATGGTTAGTGTCACTATGGATTTGTACTGTAATTGCCACAGCAACTGCGGCGCTCAAATGGTTTACTGCGGCATGACGCAATAGAGACCCGAATAGTCAACAGAAGAGTTCAGTGGGTTCACTGCACCGTACACAACAGATACATGTGTCCTGAGGTGGTTCCTTGTCGCTTGATATTTATCTCCTGGGGGGTTCCATGATGAAAGCGTACACGAAAATTGCATACAACAAAAAGCGTACATGCAAAGTGCATGCGCGGAAAAATATGTATACGGAAATTTTCACCCTCGGAGAATGACGCACACGGTATAAGGCGAACAGGGAAATACACCAGTACGAATGCTTGGCACATAAACGACTACCCAACATGCCAAATCCAACATGATTCATTCAGAATACTAAACAGACAGAACACTGCTCACCGACTGCAGTTTGCCGAAGCATCAGCGATTCGATTGCTCCAATGCACTTGGTGTGACCAGACCGAGTTCGTGAATATTTTATGGCGGCTGGCCCAAATATCAGTCTAGACGAACGGAATCATAAAGGTACACGCTTTTGTTTTTCGCACGCAGGTGTCCCCTATGTAGTGATACCAATAAGCCGTGCTGTTTGGAGAAGCAGGAATAGCAGCACGTGTCGCAGATGTGCGAAGGATCTGACCGTGGGTGTTTTTCGGTTTAGTAAAACGTATACAAGTGACAGTACACCTTTCTCATCAGTCGTCTTAGTGTGCAACGAAAGAAGTAAGTTCAACTAAAAATGTACACATTGTACTAAAACAAACCGGGTACATCTGCAGACTGTTAAAAGTTTTCCGCTTAAACGATTTTTTATGGGAAATGTATGAGCATCCTTTCATGTGCAGTACCATTGTGAGAAAATAGTTATCGGTCATTTGACGAGGTCACCAGCCTCATCAAGCCAAGAAGAGGCTAGCCACAAACTCGATCTGGTCACACCAAGTGCGTTAGAGCCACCGAAACGCTGAGGCTTCGGCACTGTTGTAGGTGAACAGTGTTTTGTCTTGAGCATTCTGAATGAGTCATTGGGGATTTGGCATGTTGGGCAGTGTTTATGTGTCAAGCGATCGAGTTGGTGTATTTCCGTGTACGCTTTTTGTTGTACGCAATTTTCGTGTACGGTTTTTTTTACGGTCACCGTTCTGGGGATGGCTCGGTTGTTTCTAGTGCAATATCAGCGCATGGTGATTGTATGTCTGAGGTGAACTCGGCGAAATCTGTGCAAGTTTGGCGGAGCTATGCCAGTTCCGTATCTGCATCCGATCATCATTCCTTCAGCAGTGGTCATCTGCCCCATCAGGTGGTGTCAGCGTCATTCATTTTCCCCCTAGTTACATCAGTAGATCAATATTTCTAATTAAATCTTGAGTCTATGTTTATTCATGCGCACGGATGTGTATCGGAAAAAACCCCATGCTTAGGCTGATGTTGCATTCACGATGCTTCTTCACCGCAGTTGGGTTAAACCAGCTTACCCTTAAACTAGGGCTTTTTAAGCTAGATACATTTCATTCCACTTTATTTGGTTTGTTCTGCCTACCTGAATAATCTTCTATTAACTGGCCAAGTTGCTTACACTAATTGCGCTTATCTTCGTTAACTTTATTGCGTTTGTAGCATTTTTGAGTGACTTGTGGACAAATCGTACTTATTGCGGGTGCGTTGATAACCAGCTTACTTCATATGCAAATTTAGAGAAGAGTTATATCTTCATAGCCCTCTGCTTTGACATATATTTTCTTCGATAATGTTATTTCAAGTGCTTGGTTGTTGCTTGTTGCTCTTGATGTGTATGTTGACAAGGTGCCTACCTGTCTATTACCCACTACCTCGTCCATGCTGGCCCCAGGAGACAGTTGGTCGTTGCTGGAGGGGACGGAGTGCACGGTCCTTGTGGCCGTGTTAGGCTCGAAGAGTGGTTCCATGCAGTCAGTGTGGAGCGGATCACGATCCAGCCACCGCCTTGTGTGCGTTTGGTTCCTAAATACAGCGTGCTTGTGTTTGTCTGTGAAGGAGTGTGGGCCGGTTCCGTTGATGAAACGTGGCTCCCGTCCACATGCCTCCCGGTCTTATTCCTACGGGTTTACACTGGATATGGGGTGTGTGGTTGGAGCTGTGGGTGGTGCAGCGCAAGCCACCCATGGTCCCTTTGTAGGCGCAGGTGCCCTGTGGTTGGTCACAGTGACAGGCAAGTCCGAAACCGGATGCCCCCAACCATGTGGATTGGCAGTGAACTTGTCGAGTTCGAAAGTTGAGCCTTCGCGCATGAGAAGGTAACGGGGTGTTACACGACCCAATTTTAGTACGCTCACTCATTAGTGCTGATTTTGTGGGATACACGCTTGTACCATAAGTAAAAATCGTCGTTTCTGATACGGCATTAGACCGATGTATTATTCGCACTACACGCTTCCGTTTGTATCTCGCGCTTACTCGGCAGATTGGGTTTGAGATTTTAAAGATCCTACCTTGAGGGTGGGTGCTTTAGCCTGGTTTTGGACCTAGCATATCTTCTGGTAGCGACCAACAATGTGCGTGAGGTGAAGGTTATAGGCGCAAGAAAGGCGCCACTGATTTCGATTTTGCGCACTTTACGTCGGTTGCTCTACGTTCCTTACATTGTTTCTTTCCTCTTAACCGTAACTCTCAATCTTCGTGAACTCTTTTTTGTGTAGCATGCTAAGAAACCTGCTGACAACTCGCCTCATGGTCAAGGATTCGATGAAGTTATATAAGGATAGTCGAGTGAGTTGTCACGCCATCGGATTATCGTTTCCTCATCTCACATTCCATTGTTTGTTGAATTACAATGTCCGATAGACGGTGGCGCAACTCTGTCTTCTGTTACGGGTAAGCTCTTTCTAAATTTTACACATCTCACCTTGGCAAATGTGTGCCTCTACTTCGACCTTGTTCACACAAGCGTTTACTTGAAGCAGAAGGCAATTGAATGTTGCACGCCCGAAAACATTGCACTACTATGACGCGTTTCGATGTTATGTCATCTCATCAGATAGGGGTGGTGGTCACAACTGACATCCCAACGGTCCCGGGTTCGATAGCTGCTATCTCTATCTGATGAGATGAAATAACATCGAAACGCGTCATGGTGTGAAGTGTTTTCGGGCGCGCAACACCAAATTTCCTTTTGCTTCATTGGCTACGGTCCTCTTGATCGAAAGACCAAGGTTCACTTCAATGGGAATCGCGGTCCACTTTGAGATTGCGCGTCGCAATCCATCCACCCAATATGTACTTCAAATTGATCCTCCAATCTTTTAGTAGAAATCGATCAAGAATATGGTTCATACATTCGGAACGACAGGGATTTACTCCTGTAGATTTCCTGAGCGTATTTGCAGTTTTGCTTCTATATGCAATAGGGCAGATTATCTCTCAGCTTTCAAGAGTTATCACACTGACTTCTGACTAGCATCTCTACCTCAGCAGTTGCAGCCTTTAGCTGGTAACCATAACGATTACTGGTTTACATCTTGGTCTGATTCTTTCACTTAAAGAAATATCATTTACGCAGTACAGTGTCGATAGCCCACAAAGGACTATTGGGTTCATTTTTCGAGGGCTCACTGTTTCAGCGCTAAATCCAAGCAACCATTCAATTATGTCAAGTTCATCCTTCATGGTGAACAGCCTCAACGGTTAAAGGAACCGCTGTCCAACTCCTCACAGATGTTGGTGATGCCATTTTATCCATGTTTCCAACATTCCCGTTTCATTTGTGTCCCATAACGTCACATTTCCCTGGTGAATTGTGGACCATCATTTTGCAACAAAAGCATTCATCCACTAGTACTTTTGCTCCGGGTTATCTGTGTCTTATTGCTATTACATTGTGTTCACTGATGTTAGCCGGTTTCTCCTTGTATTTGCTCACAAATCGAAACTGATGCTACCCCAACGAATCTGCAATTCATTTTGTCGTCCATATGGAAAAGAAACAACTTCACGTTTCCTTCTTCGTTTGTCCTTTTAGTCCCTAACCCGTCTGCTAGATGCCCGACAGCTTGCCCTGAAGCTAATGGCTAACGTGATCTACGGTTACACTGCTGCTAATTTTTCCGGACGAATGCCGTGTGTAGAGGTATGCAAGCATCTTGACGTACCACTCTTTCCTACTTGCAATATCTCTGCAATGGACATTTCTTTCCACTTCTCTAGGTTACATGCCCGGGTTCGCACCGAGTAGTAGCGCAGATTGCTACTTGTACTAGTCTGAGCCTTATCTGTTACTCAAGCTGTTTGTATACTAGCTCTTGTTGCGTTCTGGTTACCGTCCTACACTCCTTTCCCTACGCTCGCCTCTTCTCTACATCCATATTGCTGCTTTGTCATAATGATCTGTCTTAAATCCCTTCGAATACTCATCTCAGTTGTGCCCATCACAACACATGCGTACTCTTTTTTGATCTTAGAGACATTGCTACCTTTCCTTCACCAATTCAGGTTGGAGACAGCATCTTGCACAAAGCTCGTGAGACGCTGGAACGAGCCATTGACTTGGTCGAGGCCGGTCAAATTATCTTACCGGCCTCGTGTGCCGGTCGCACCAAACCGCGCGTCGTGTACGGGGACACGGATAGTCTGTTCGTTCATCTACCTGGGTGCGGAAAGACAGAAGCATTCGATGCAGCTGCGGCCATCGCAGAGGCCATCACGTCACGTAACCCCGCACCAATCAAGTTGAAGGTGGAGAAGGTATGTTAAAAGTCGCGTTCTCCTCATTCGTCAAACGTGCTCCCTCCAGATCTACTACCCATGCCTGCTGGAGGCGAAAAAGCGCTACGTTGGCTATGCCTATGAGTCAGTCACTCAAACGGAGCCGACATTCGACGCCAAGGGGATTGAGACTGTTCGACGTGATAGCTGTCCGTTCGTTGGAAACGTGAGTTTCTAATCCATTTCGTGGTTTTGCTCCTTAGCTTTTTATTATTTTACCTGTTTCGATCCCAACGAACACTCCACCTAACTTTTGGTTGTTATTTAAATTTCGTCATAGTACGCAATGCATATCACACTTTCAAATGCTTGAAAAGAATCATTCATTCTGCTTTATTATCCACGACACCTACCTAGGTATGAGTAGGTGACGATGGTGGTCGTGATAATGGCATCACACGAACCGGCTCCAATATTTTCTTTAGGCTCAGATGTAACCTACATTCCGCACTTAACGCGAAAGATCGCACAAATCTCCGATGCAAATGTAGGGGAATTGGTTTATTAACCTTTACGAAAGAGTAATAGGGGGAGTTGAATGGTATAAGTAGGAGTTCATCACATCTATGTCGTTACCGTCCTCCGTAGCCCTGCCGTCTTCATCACGGATTGCGAGCATTCCGGTTGCGCGTTCTATCCCCACAGTAGCCTGATGGAGTGCGCACTGCTGACAATTCTCGAAACGATGAAATGACCGTACGGTGCTTTTCCGGGCGTGCGATGGCTGTTTGACTGAGTCTGGATATGACGAACTCCTATTTATACCATTATTGGCCTACTTTATTGCTAGTCTCAAACATCGTCCCCTAAGCAATACCATATTTCACCATCTCGGGATAACGAATCTTCATCCTCCCACGACACAAATGTCGTAGCCGTCCAATCTACTTTGTATAACTACCATTAGGCTTAGCATTTCATGGTCATTGGAAACGAGTGTGCGTACATAGATGAAACATCGACCAGCCAGGAATGTTCAGCTGTCCTTTGCATACGAAGCAGTATCCACGAAATGGATGTCTCACAGCCTCTCGCTTTATTTCATGATTAATATAACCCTGCTGTTAAATTAACTGGCACGAATTGGGTCAAATGTGTACTCTGTCAGAGAACACACCAACTTCGGTGGCGTCGCTGACGGCATTTTCGCTCCATGCACCCGGACAGGTCTGATTATGATCGTTCTATGTAACAATAAACTCGCCTCTAGTTTAGCCTTGTGCACGTTGCCAATCCAGGTTATTTACTTTCCCACATACTGTGTAATTCCACCCTGTTTTTCTCATTTGACTACTTTCAGGTACTTGAAGAAACCCTTCGGCTGTTGTTTGACCACTTCACTCTACCAGAATCGGTTGGTCTTCAGGGTGAAACAGGTGGGTCTTGTGTGTTTTTGTCTACTTTCACGTAATTATTATTTCTCCCAACCCGTGTCACGATGTTTCGTGACTTACCGTCTCATCCAATCATCGTACTGCTTGTCATATGAAAGAAACTACTCTGATTGAAATAAAAATTATTTCGCGCCTCGTATATGTGGCTTTTATGAAGAGCTAATGACTCTATCTATGCGGACATTTTGCATGGGTCCGCTTTAACGCAGTCTGGTTGAAAGGCGCCATATGCCACTAGATACTATTTTTGACATGGCCGATGTCGAAGAACTCATCTCACTTGGTTATCACTTCGGGTTCATTTGAGGCTTGGATGACTTTTGTGGATTTCTTCAACTTTGACAGCTATCTAATCACAGTTGTCCCTCCTGCACTGCGTTTGTATCGTTTTTCGCATTATTATTTACCTAGCAAATCTATACGAGCGTTGCCTAGAGCAGTTTTCGCACACTGACGCAATAGCGTTTCCGACGTTTGCGTTTGACCCGTTCGCCATCGGTTAGAGGCGGCTGCACTGCAGTTGGTGGATGAGGCAGGCTTGAAACGTCAGTGAATTCATTTCATAATTGATATGCCTCATGCACTGCCCTTCCCTCTCAAATTATCATTACTCTGGTCACGAGCGTTGTCTAACATGGTCCTGAGCAACAGTAAGTGGCCTACATTTGCTGAACTTTAGTTCGCCGCCTCACTTTTTGATGTGTGTATCCGTTTTTCTACTCTTACACGCACTTCCTCCTCTATTCTGTTTTGTTAGCATACGCCCACATAGAGCAGTGCCGACAGATCGCTGAGGTCAAGGTGCGCCAGTCGATCCACCAGTTCGCGCACGATCTTGCGCACGGACGGATCTCTTTCGCTGATTGCATTCTGACCCGCCCCTACCGTGGTATGGCATCGTATCGTTCATCCTCTTTCGCTCCAGCGTTACAAGTAGCGCGGTGAGTGTTACCACTTCGACCGCAAACTAGTAGGGTGTACCTCAGCTCACTTGGCTTTCTTATCTACCTTCCACTCTCCAATCACTGTTTGCATACGAACCATTTTCTAATGGACCTGATGAATGACCAATTTGCCGCTTTCTGTTTGCAATATTCTCATCCCCCTACCTTTCAGTCGATTGCTTGCTTTGGATCCCCGAGCGGAACCGCTTGTCAATGAGCGCGTGGTGTACTTTCTCGCTCCCGGACGATTGAATCAAACCCTGATCTCGCGGGTTCGTGCGCTTCCAGAACTCTATCCGCCTGTTGTCATCTCCTCACCCATTACAGCAACCCGTCGAGCTTTACCGCCGCGTTTACATCTTGGTTATTACCTGGACAAACAGCTCATCCCGCCTTTGGCACGAATGGCTCAGCTAATCGGCTGGAACGTTCCTCTATGGTGTGTTTTTGATTCACAATCTTCTTATGTTCATTATATGGTTCGCTGCTTCTCACAGTCTTTTCTCTATTCCCCTTAGGCTGAACGATGTACCGCGATATCGAAACTTCAGCCATCAATACAAGATTGCTTCTATCTCATCGCGGGAATCCCAACCTCCTTTCCCACTCTCATTGAATCATCTTGGTAGTTTCGGGTCTTCGTCCCCTATGTGCAGCCAATCTTCGGTCATCCCTAGACGAGGCACGATCCTCACTTACAAATATCGACGACGACAATCTGCTTTACTGCGTGCCTTCCTCGGACAGCCAGTACGCATTTGCCACAGCTGCGAGACTGTTGTTCAGCCTGCCTCCATCGGTGATGCCTTCGGGCACTGTCTGTCTTGTGTGCAACACCACTCTGGACTTTCGTCCATTGGGGCTATCCGATTGGGCACTCAGGTAAGCACCTCTGACTGATGACTCACCAGTTGTCGTCACCTTTTATATTGTTCATACGTGATTATCTCAATTAGTTATGAGGTTCCAGTGTTTTCTTTCCTCTGGCTATCGATTATGTGTAGGCGCTTAAACAGCGTCTGTTGTGCTCTAACAAATTTTTCAACGCTGTTGTGCATGAACCCGATCCATTTCCTCCAGCGATGTGTGGCCATTGGGAGACTACCAGGAGCGACCACCGTGGCTGCATCTACAAGAGCAAAACTGCAGCCATTGGTTGTGGGAAGTCATCTCAGTGCATCATGCTAAATGTTCAGTCCATCTGGTCGTCACATTTTCTCATCGATGTAAAAACGTGATTGAAACAGCTCCTCAGCTGGTTACACGTACCAGGTCTTACATTTGGTGCCTCTAGTCTCCGAGACAGACGCTCGGTTAATGCTATCAGGGTTTGTGCGTTTTCTTCATCCAGCCCCTTACTACAAGATCAGTATTAATTTTGACTTCTTGTTGCTTTGCTGTATCTAGTCCCGGCCTTTGAACCACTGAATATGCGTCAAAAGTCGATCAGCTGGTCACTACACGTTCTCCAATCCACGTACGATCGACGTTATGATCCCGCTATTTGGAATGTTATTTGAGGGTCAACGGGTCACTGGAGCTGTCAGAATCCGGCACTGTAGACTGAGTGGCATTTGTTACACTCGCGATCCTGTCCTTCCCAGCGCGTCATCACCACGACGACATCAAAAAGGCTTATTTATTCCAAAGTGTTTTGGATGCAGTTTACTCCACCTAGACCAAACTAGTCGAGCACTAAGGACTCTGCGGCCGTCTTTTGCTTTAGCGGCTCGTGAACAGTGCGTTTTTCTCTGGTTCATTGAGGAACTGCTACTGACGCATTAGTGCACACACAGCGTTTGTGCCTTGTCACTCGTCGCATGAAACACCCGTTAAGCGTTGCTCTGCACTAAAAACAATATAACTACCATTCATTTTTTCAGCGTAAATGACACTTTTAAAGGGGCCGCTTGAAAAGATGCTTTGGGTCAACCCACGTGCGACCCTTTTCTACATGTGCATTTTAATGCATTTATTAAGCTTCTCATAGCATTATCTCTGTCGTTAGAATCTGTCCTACTCTGACTTGCATTAGCCCTTTTATGCTTCGGGCTGCACTTTACCACCGAATATTCTGTAGCCGATTTCGGTGGTCACATCTGCAGTGCTTTTAAACCGAGTCTACTAGTCACTTGGTATCATCTCTTAGAAACGTTCAGCTTTGGTTGGCACCGTGGCCAAGGCAACCGAAGCCCCCGACACCAGTAGTCAAAGTGGAGGATTGCAAAGCCACCGAAACGCCAGACTTTGTGTCCAAGATCAGACCGCTTGGAGGTGTCGCAATCTTCGAGGCTCAGGTGAACGGTAAACTGATGGTCACTGTTCACTATTTCCGTGGTGGGTCTACTTGGCACCGGGACCAACGGTGAGTATTCCGCCTCCCGGACCAGATGGGGTGAAAGTTCTGGAATCTTCCGGTCTGGACGACAGAGCCGGTGGTGCTATCACCGGAAAGAATTTTTGTTCAGCTCCACTAAAAGTGCTTCGTGTTCCGCGGGCACTTTCGGGTGAACGACTAAGTGACCGTAGAGGGAGACTTGATAAAATCGCGATCACGACAATATCAATTTGAAGGTGAAATGAAGTGGTCGAGTCTCCAAGAGTGAGACCAATGGATTTGGGCCAGATGGCCTCTGTACAAATGAATGATTTTACTCATGATATGCGTACAGTTTATAAATCGGCAACTAGAGCGGCTCCATCTCTTCTCCGTTTAATATTCGCGTCTTGGCCCCACCGGGTGAATGTCAAAGCCCACTGGTCACATCCGATACCACCTCTTTTTGGTGCGCGACTCAGCTGGAAATCTCCACGCTCTGATGACGGCTGCAAACCAGAAGTATTGTCATTGACATACGCCAACGGAAGAAGCGCTGTCATTAACTGGTTTGGTCCGAGCTTCTGCTGAGGCTACATGCATGGAATCAAACTTGAAGGCTTCTATGTGCAAACTCTTTTAACAGTCTCTATTTGTACAGAGCTTATTGATGCTCTCCGATTTCAAACTTATCGTCTTCGGACCGACACGTGTTTTATGCTACTAAACCAAATATCAGATTAGCGTGTGTAGACTTCGTTTAGCGGCTTCCTCTGTTCAACTTGTGATCCGTTTTCCACCTCTTATAGACACTTTAAAAGGTTGTGGTGCCATGAGGCACTTTCGCTGTCACCTGCCGTATACCATGACGGGTGTTTGCCGAACTTTTATTGAAACTTGTGCAGTTTTGCAACGTGACTTTAATTACCTGAATCAACCTTCCGGTCTTATGTGTGCTGAAGGTGTTTTTATTGACGTACCCCTCTAATTGCACCCTATCGTTTCCTTCCTTTGGCCTTCACTTTCATCTTTGCTTTTCGCCCCTCCAGCTTAATCGAACGAATGCAGAGCTCACTATGGCTGAACGTATTTGCACTGGTTGTCTTGGAAATCGAGGTAGTCAGTGCGACGCAGTTTGGTTGTGCATCAACACCCAATGCCCGGTGCACAGTTGCCGCCTTCGAGCCACTGCGAGTCTAGCACAATTCTGGGCTTTGAATGCACACCAACTGTCCAACTTGGACAGCCTCCTCTCCTGGTAGCCTGACCGAGCGCTTATGTTTCGCACTCTTTACCTTTCTTTTCGCCTCTGTCTTTCTCATGATCATGCATCCTGATTTCTCATACTAGATATACGGTTTACCGGTATTGCTTCGTTTCTCTTCTGGCATTCACACAACTCCTTCTTTTCATCATTATGGCTACAATGTGCTTGATGCTTCGATCGTTTCTTTTTGCATGGAATCAATCAGTTCTTCATAATGTCTTAAGCTTCGCTGCACCCTGACGCTCCATCCCATTGGAAAAAGATGTGAGGTCTATTTATACGTGTTCCCATTCCGAAATATTCTTACCTTCACACGCTGCATGCTTATACTTTGACCCCGATTTCATTTTCGGATAACTGACTCTCCTCTTTGAGATGTGTTCTTCTATCTACCGATTCAGCATTGGTATTCCACATTTGGACGTCGGTCTATCCCTGTCCATCATAGGTTGAACGAGTCTCCAAGGTCCATGGCTCGTGAAAAATACGTCGTCCGGTGTACCCTTTTTATCTGTATGTTATAAAGTCGTTTATCTGGACATTATCTTTGTAATGTGACTATCCAGAATCAGATTGCTTTATCTTCCTGATTTACTTCCGCTCAGCTGCCATGCTTACACAACAGTCTTTATTTTCTCCCATTCCTTCCCACAACACTCGCTTTGTAGCAGTTTATGGACCAAACTGATTCCTACTTATCTCCAAGGAGCCACTCATGCACCTACCATTTAGGGACGATTCTTTAGCCGATATCCTATCCCGACGCCTGAAAGATGTTGTTCAGAAGACTTTTGTGGCCCACTTGAGAATGGCTTATTACAACTGGCCATTGCTTGCGAAACCCTTGAAATATTGACTGCTCTCATTGACTCGTTCAGTGTTCATTGGTCAGTACTCTTGCTCCTGCAATGCACGGGTCGCACTACGATGCGCTTATCTCAAGCGGTTCGCTGGCACAACCCGGCCTGGTCCAACTTTAGGTATTTACATCCTACCACCAGGCGAAGTGAAACCGTGAGATAATTCACCAGCCTATGATTTTGCAAAATGCAAACACGTAACTCGAGTAATACCTGTCCTTATCGGTTAGAAAGTACCGCAAATGGACGGGCGTCGGTTCGGCATGCATATATATATATATATATATATATATATATATATATATATATATCACTTAGCCTAAGCAGTAGACATGAAGCCATCAAAAGCGAGTCACTTATTTATGACTGACTAGCCTCATGGTACTGAGACTGCGCAATTTTCCTCACTTCTGACCAGTGTACTTCCAATTTTTCATGCAGTCCGAACAACTACCACATTGCGATGTGCTATGACAACCCATCCATAAAACGACTCGCCTACTTGGAACGATCGGCGGCCTCCACAAATTCTGCCCCAGAACCGAGCGCCACGGCCCTGCCGAACATTCACTACTGACGCACCTTAACCCAAAAGAGCGAATGCAAGCCTTTCTGCAGGAGGCTTTTACTACCTGGGAAATAGCCGAATACAAATTTGCAGTTTTGATCACATAGCGTGGAGACATGTATGCATGGTCAAAAGTGGCGAAGAGTGGGCGTAGCGCGTAACATCTGGGTTCACATGAATGCGAGGAGTCGGCGGGAACGGTCTCGAGACATGTGCGTTCGCATGGCGGCAAGTGCTCGTTCCGAAAGTGAGTAGGCGGAGGCGTAGCTTACTTGGATGAAGCTTGTGTTGTCTCGTGAGGACTTACATACCCCGAGACAATGTGCCCTTTTTAAATCGTGCTGTGAAACGGTGTGTAGATGTTTGTGGGCTATAAGTAGCTTACAACAGTGACTTGCCGCCTATGCCTACTTTATCGATAACAGACTCAACACAATACAAATTGGTTCCTTAGCTTTTGTGACGACTTACCCATATCTTCGAGTGAGGATGGGGTTCCTCGTTGCATCAAGGGTCATTGAACTCATCGATGTCTTTGGTGGATTCCCAGTTATGTAGCTGTCGTTCATCTGCGTCCATTTGTACTTACCGATTAATTGTGCACGTGAAAGGGTGGAACATTCAGGAACTCAAAGTTTTGGAGACCAGTCCTTTTCTCTGCCTTCATAACGTGCGTGATAGTGGCGAATAAGCCGCGCCATACCGTAGTTAGTAATTGTCATGGCAATACGCTGCCGTCACCCATAGCTCAGTGACTTGAGTCGCTGGTTCGTAGGAGTAATGTCATGGGTCCTGTAGTATCCGGTGTTGCGCGTCACTGACGTGCCCCAGTTGGGTGAAACTACGACCTGTCGTCACTCTAAGTCGTGTTGTCTGTCTGAGTCTACGACGAAGCCACTCAAAAATAACAAATCCCTTTACTACTCTGCGAGACATTCTGGATTACTTATGCTATTCATGGAAGGATAACTTTTTATCATGCAATGAGAACGCCGGTCTACCTTCCATAGCACCATATTGTTAGATCAGTGGTATGCAATCCAGTGTCAACTGGCTATCTCGCATCAGTGGCTGAGGTATTGGTGACGCAAATATGTTCCGTTGTACATGATCATGCTTGTTTAGGCGTGTCACGTGTACTTTGGGAATAAATTATTTATTGCAGGCAGTATGTAAATAAATAAATCCTCTATTTCTCGACGATGCGAGAGACTATTCCCACATAGGGAAAGATCAAAATATTTCCAGGTTTTTTCATATAGTCCCCTCTACATATTAGATCGGAATATGCATTATGTTACATCCATGTCAGTTTCACACATGCACGTTGTTCAGGGGGAATTGCAGAACATTGTGCTTGGGTTACATCCTCCGTTAACTGATGTCCCATCGATTTGTACTAACGCACTCTGAGCAGAGGGCGGAAATGGGATTTCTTTTATGAGCCATTCTTTCAAACTCCCGCTGACTCGCAGTCCAACTTCGTCGATCGATTAAAACACGTCCCAGTTTGTAGTGCACTCAGGAAGAAAACAAAATAAACAATAGTATCCAGGTAGGTAAGGAAGGCTATGAAATGATTCCCAGTAAAAATAAATAAAGCTTAAATATCTGGCAAAGAATTATCCAAACATATAGACTTCAGTTTGCACGGAATATATAAAATTTGGTAAGCGTCCTTGTAATTTCCCCAGTAGTTGTTTTGGGACATTTAAAAATACGGACTCATGCCGGATGCCTTACCCTGTGAGAAAAGTACTTCAGAATGAAATGATGATTCGAATACCAACAGACTCTGTCGCTAAGTACAATGACAGCGAAAGGTGCATTGTTTGGTGGATGACAACATTTCGGTGCAACGCATCTGTGATAGGAGAAGCGACCTAGATGATGGCAACATAATTTATAAATTGTCAAACGAAGTCTAATAAGTGTGGCATAGCACAGTAATATTTGTGGTCACGCGTTGTAGTGGAAAGCTTTATAGCCGCCATACTCCGGAATAATAGTATAAGCGTGGAAGAGCTGGTCTGTAAAAAAAAATAAGAACTGGATGTCCACCCATCACAGCCTAAAATTTAACAGGCGCGTGATGGGAAATGGAGCCAGGTTAAAGAGAATCTCATGCAAATGGCCAAGGTAGTGTGTGGAGGCGATCGAAAATCCTGGAAGTCCGGCTATTCGAGAGGACAGGGGCCACTCTGACACACGGTTAACTTTCAGGTCAGGTTAAATGAATATGAAATATTGATGAGCAAGATGATAATAATGTACAGAACAGGATCTGGCTTCACCTTCTACCAATCTGCCGATGTTTACGTTAGCAGATGGCGAGCGTTCAAGTTTGATAAAAGTTAAGAGATAGTGAGGGCCAATATGAGGTTAAGTGGAGTAGTAAAAACCTGGGTCAAATTTGTTGTTTCATCAGAGGAATAGTTAACCAACTATCTGGAATATTATGATATGAAGTATAGGGGGTGAACCTATTTTTCAAACCAAGACAAGGCAAAAAAGGAAATCCGATGATCATTAACCAGTGCAGGATAGTTAGGAGAGCCCGTGAAACGAGGTGAACCGAAACCTTCAAATGCTAGACAACCCGGTAGCCCAAGTGGGGCAAATAAAACCTCGAACATAGAAAAAACAAAATAAAGTGATAGATAAGCAGGGTCATAATTAATGTACGAGATGAGATTTATGCCGAGCAGAAATTCGAATGCGGTAGATGTGAGGCTCGACCTTTAAAGTTCTATGGGGCCTCTCTCATAAATATCGTCTAGAGTTGTAGATTCGCCCAGTATACGTAATACCTCCTCTACGGTGAGGTGGTTGAATACTTGAGCTCGAAATATATGCTTAGTGTTGTTACATCTAATGGATTCGGGCAGCTTATTCCATAACGTTGTATACCTTATGAGAAAGAATTTGGCGCACAACCTTGTACGCACTCTAGGGACGCAAAAGCTGGATGATGTATTTCTAGTTGGATATTGATGGAAAATGCCAAACTGGACATTATCTGCTTCCCCAGAACTGGTATGAGCTAAATCAAACAGAAAGATAAAATTAATCTTAGATCTTCTCAACCAGAATGGCTCTAGCTTCAGCAGTTTACACCGTTGTTGATAACTCAAAGATCCAAACCCTAGTTAGCGTTTGGTAAGGGAACCTTTTGGTTTTTCAAGATTGATTTGTCGTACATTTTTTAAATTTGTGAATACTAATGGGCAATATTCTAAGACTGGACACGAATATGCTATATATATAGCTAGCCTAGTGTCTTTTAAGTGTAAGGTATTGAAAATACGTGCTGTGATAAATCTCGCTTTGGCGGTGACATGATGTACCTGTTCGGAGAAATTGAAAGAGCTTGAGTAGCGAACTCCGAGGTCACGAATCGTTGTGCAGCAGGTAATTGGTTTGTCATCTAACGTCAGTATGTCATTAATAAGGTTGCATCTGAAGAATAGGGCTTTACATTTGCCAACAGAGAATGTCATTTTCCACTCTCGGCACCACCGCTGAAGGGCGAAGAGCTCCATCTGTATTGTTTGAGCACCGTTTGGTTCATTTATGCTTTCAAAAGCGGACACAACTTTGATATTATCCGCGAAAAGAAAGAGTTTGTCATGTCAAAAGATTCAGAAAATGTCATTCATGTATAGTAGGAATAGCAGTGGGCCTAAAACGCTTCCCTGTATGACGCCGCTGGTTACTGGTATATGTGAAGATACGCAGTTTCCCACTCTGACACATTGGGTGTGTGTAGATAAGAAAGATTTCACCCATGCTAGTAATGGTTTAGCAAACGCATATGAGGTTAAGTTTGTTAGAAGTTCTGCATGGGGTACACCGTCGAATGCCTTTTCCATGTCTAAGAAGAGAATAACCATCGACTTGGTTATGCAGTCCAGAAATTTAAATTGGCAAGTTTGGCATGTAAGCGACCACGGGGGAATCCATGTTGGGACCTGCCGATCAGATTTTGTGAATTAAGAAACTCTATGACTCTTTCTTTAATTATTCTTTCCATAATACGAGTCAGTGTGGAAGTATGGCTAATGGGGCAGTAATGTGATAGCTCGTGACGTGATCCACCTTTGTGTCGGGGTAGGACGGTGGCCCGCTTCCACCTAGCAGAGTATACACCAGTCTTAATTGACATGGTGAATATGTTTAACAGGAACAAGGGAATATCGGGCCTGACGAGTTTAAGCAATGCTGGTGGTATGCTGTCAGGTCCAGGGTGAAAAGAATGCTTTAGGGCGGCTATTTGCCTGCTAATGCTATACAGGTTGAACTCAACTGTATCTGTTGTTTCACTGGTGAGTAGAGGCAATCTTTCTTGTGCAACACATGCGCCTGTATTACACGATTAGGAGACATTTTTACTAAATAATTCACAGATCTCATCGGGGTCGGTAGTGAG